ACATGGCGCATCAGACCTCTCCTGACTCGCCCACTGCTCCCCTCAGCAGTGTATTTCAGTCAATCTGGCTGTTCTGTTCCCTACTCTGTCTCTGGTGAATCCTCTCACCCCCCACGCCTCTGGCCTGTACCCCAGTTCTTGTATGCATAAATAAATAAATCTTTACAAAAAAATAATACTGCTACCTAAATTGGGACCTCAGTGAGAATAAGCTCCATGAGGATCTCCATTTTGTGCAGCAGAACACCTAGAATGCAGTAAGTGCTCAATAAATGTAAGAAGCAGGACAGGATCCAAGCACTTGAGAGAATGGATTTCCACTCTCTATTTGCACTAAATGTCAAATGAGACTTTGAAAAATGGTACAGATTTTTGGCAAGGCCTCCAGAATAGAAAGCAATCGTGTTTGCTTATATTTATTTTTCTCTATTGAAAGTATCAAAATATGATATGCACCACATACAAATGAACTTTGTAAATTGGTGAACACACGCAAATGAATTTAAGTCACAACATTGAACCAGGCAGAGATCTTCAGATTATGGTAACCACAAAATGGGGTGTTAACAACTGGGGTAGAAGGATGTGGTTTTGTTTAATTACAATATCTAGAAACAAGTACTGGAATACATTTGTATTCCATACTGATTTTCCTCCTTTCTATTTTCCTCTTTTCTATTTTCATGTGGGTACCAGACAGCAAACCCTTCCACATCATCACATTGTATAAACAACTAGCTATTACTACTTTGCAAAGAAAACCAGAAGGAAAGATGGGATATATTATTCAAAATAAGTTACTTCTTTAAAACATAATGAAATTAACTGGGGAAGGGAAAAGTCTATGTAGGGTAAGGAAAAATGTCAGGCTTTTCTGCCCTCCCGCCTTCAGGCATAGATGATGGATCCTTGCGGTCCTGAATGCATGCCTGATGGCGGGCATCTGGAACAGGGTGTGGGCATAAGTAGATGGGATTCACCTGGGCTGAGACTGGGCTTTTAAGGGCGGCATCACAGGGACGCCAGAAGAAGCCGAGAGAGAAGCAAGAGCAGAGAAGCAGAGAGAAGGCCGGAGAGCCCAGAGTGAAGACCTGCTGGGGGCTGGGAGGCCTGCCAGCCTACCGGCCCCCCAGTGCCCCTGCCTGCCGTGTACCTGGTAATCCCAATAAAAACTTGCAAAACCACTGAGGACTCTGACTCTTCCTTTACCCCGTCTGCATGGGATCATAGAAAACCTACACCATGGACATTCCTGCCCTTACAGTCTACAAGGCACTCAAAGAGAGGCACTGATAGGCAGCCCAAGTTACACAAAGGAAGTGTTTCTGATTTGAATATTGCTCAAGGAAAAATTTTATTTTTTTAAGCATGCTTTTCCAAAACAACTTTAACATTTTAAAGCTTTATGAATTAGAGCCTCCCTGGTGGTGTAAAGGGTTAAGTCACACCACTAACAAGCTATCGCTTAGCCACAGAAGCATGAGTTTGATCCCTGGCCAGGGAGCTAACCCACATGGTGCAGCAGACCTCTCCCGTCTTACCAGCTGCTGCCCTCAGCAGTGTATTTCAGTAGATCTGCCTGTTCTGCTCCCCACTCTGTCTCTGGTGAATCCTCAATATTTCAAACATTTTCATTGTTTTTATATGAGTGTTATGAAGATCTGTAATCATTGATGTTTGATGTTACTATTGCAATTGTTTGGGGGCACCAGGAACAATGCCCACAGAGATGGCAACTTAACCATTGTCTCTGTTCTGACTGCTCCATGGATCAGCCATTCTTCTGTCTCCCTCACCTAGGGCCTGCCTGTTGCCTGAGATAAAATATTGAAATTAGGCAAATTAGTAACACTACAATGGCCTCCAAGTTTTCAAATGGAAGAAAGTGCCATGTGTCTTGCACTTTTGATCAAAAGCTAGTAGTGATTAAGCTCACTGAGGAAGGCATGTTAACAAATCCAGATAGATTGAAAACTAGGCCTCTTGCACCAAGCAGTTAGCCAAGCTGTGCATGCAAAGGAAATGTTCTAGAAAGAAATTAGAAGTGCTGCTCCAGTGAAAACATGGATAAGAAAGCAAAATAGTTTTACTGCCGGTATGGGGAAAGTTTTCATGGACTAGAAAGAAGATCAAATCAGCCACAACATTCCACTAAGTGAAAGCCTAATCCAGAAAGCAAGGTCCCAACTCTCTTCCATTCTATGAAGCCTGAGAGAGATGCTGTCCATTAACATTATTGAAACTGCAACAGGGTGGTCCCCAGGAAAGGGGGAGGTTCCCTGCCCCACCCAAGGGAGGGTGGAGCTGAGCAGGAAGAGGAGAAGCTGCAGAAGAGACTGAGGAAGGAAGAAGGATGGAGCCAGGAGACCTGGAGGAGGCGCATGGAGCCTAGAGACATGTGAAGAAACTGTGCTTGTCTTTTGGTCGTGGACTGGGTGACACAGATGTGGGTGAGACCTGTGGGGAGGTGACAATGGCAGCTTTTATCTTGATGTTGATTTTGCTCTTTTCCTTCCGGGCTTGTCTGGTTGTTTGTGACCCTTTTCTGTGGGTCCCCACTGGAAGATGCTTTAGACTTGTGGCAGGCTTTGGGGCCTTGTTCTGGGCCGATCCCATATGGATGGAGTTTTACCCACGAGGGGACGGGTAACTTTGGGTGCTTCATTTAGAAACTAGACTCTTTGCCTTACCTGTATTGTTTCCTAGTTGTATTAAAGTTCCTTCCCATTAAAGTCTCATATGTTTTGTGTTGATGCGGGGATGGCAGAACCCATTTAGAATAGGTAGGTTTGCGGGGCTTGGGCTACCCCTCTCCCTGTCCTATAACAAAACCACAATAAAGAATTTAGAATATTCCATTAACTTAGTTATGTCAACAGCAGCATCAAGGTTTGAGAGCATTGACTCCAATTATGAAAGAAGTTCTACTTTGAGTAAGATGATAAAGTTTGCCTTATCAATCGACTCTTCCTTTTGTGAAAGATTGCTCTGTGGCTTGCAATGCTGCTTGATAATATATACATATATACATAGCTGCTGCACATGCGTTAGACTATGATATAGTGTAAGCATAATTTTTGCACACACTGAGAGGCCACAACATGTGTGTGACTTGTTTTTGTGGTGATAGTCACTCAATTGTGGTGGTCTGAAACCACATCAACCATATTTTCCCAGGGTGTGAGTGTATCAGAGGTGCCCATGGATGTGTTTACAGTATTACTCTTTGTTGTGTTTGCTTGGGCTCTGGGACCACTAGCCCTGCTTCTCTTCTGCAGGAGGTTAAATGAGTCTACTACCTGATGCTTCTGGCATCACTGACTTTTGACAGCTGCCAAAAAAAGTCTGCAAAACAACCACATGCTAACAAGGCTAAAAATAAACGAATAAACTAACACCTTGACCTTACCCAAGCGTCACTATCACCTTTAACAATTTTTTTTCTTACCATAGTCTTATTTCTCTCTTAAAAAGTTCAGACAACTGAGAAACCACAAATTGGAACATAAGGGGTTGAAATAAGTAAGGAGAGAGAGTGGGGTGGGGGTTGCTGTAAAAATGGAGGAACTGTCTCAGAATATTTCATCTCCAGAAGATTAAAAAAAAACATTCTCAGAAACCCTTCCAACCAGGGGAACATCTGATTTCCTTCCAGGCTAGAACTCTTATCTAGCTTCTGCCCAGACTTGATTTGGAGTTTGTATGAAGGGAGGGGGAGGGGTGGTAATCAGTATAATTTACCACGAATGTCCTTTTCCAGCCTCAGCCTGATTGGAAATTGGAGGAAAAAAATGGAGCCCAACGCATCAAAATCCTGGGCTCCCCCATTCTCAACAAAAACAAAAGCAAAAAACGAAAACAAAAACAAAAAACCATGCCCTCTATTTCACTCTGTTTCTGGGGTGACCTAGTTCTGCAGAGAGAAAAAGCAGCACTAGGGTGTGCCAGTGCAAAAAAGGTACTATTCCAGACAGAAGGCACAGGGCAGCCAGGGCTCTGCCCAGCCTAACTGACCTCAAACCATTTCATCATTCTTGGGGACTCTGAATCTCTGTCCTTGACCCTAGTAAGCTAACCGGGGCAGCTGAGTGGCCAGGAGCGAAGAACAAGTGGACCAGGCCCCGCGGCAACATTTCAGATACAGGAGACGCTGGGCGGGCAGGCGTGGAGCTGTGTGTTCTCTGCGCCCGGGACACAGCTGGCTTTGACTTTGACTACACGACATGAAATATACAGCAGCACCGGCTGGGCTGGAGCCGGGGCCGGGCCTCTGGTCTGTGGCACTCGGCCATCCGCCTCCTCCGCCAGCCAGGTGCTGGCGCCGGTGCCCGCGATGCAGGGAATGCCCATCCGCTGGCGGTCACACCTGTTAGGTGTTGCCGCGCTCCGAGCCTCCGCCCCGCAAACGCCTCCCGCCCCGCGGGGCCAGGGGTGCGGAGCAGGGCCGGGCCTTCCCCAGCGAGCCCCCGCGGGCCTCAGCGCGGAGGGCCGAGCCGGCGCCGGGGGCTGGAAGGCGGGAGAGGTCGAGCCGGGCGCAGAGGGGCATGGGCAGGGCCGGGGCAAGGGGCGTCGCTGCCGGCGTTACGCTTCCAGCGCCCGCAGCAGAGGCGGCGGGGCCGAGCCGGGGCGGAGATGGGGTTGGCAACGGCCCCGGCCTTTCTCCTCGAGGCCCTGGCGCCGCTGCCCCTCGCCGGGCCGCGGCGCCACTTAGGCCGCGCAGGGTGAGCGGGGGCGCCGGCCCGCGGCACCTCGCCCCGCACCGGAGGGGGGCGCCCGGCGGGGCCGCGGCGAGGGGACTCCGCTCACCCGGCGGCCCGCCCGTCCCACGAGCGCACCAGCACCCGCGGCCGCCGGCCGGCGCCCGGGACGGAGCTCCCCGCGCGCCCCCCGGGGGCCGGCAGCGGCCGGGAGGCGGCGCGGGGCTCGGCCGCTCGGCGCAGCCGCTCCGCTCACCCGGCGGCGGCGGCGCGGGTTCGGGCGCCCGTGCCGCCTGGAAGCCCATGGCCAGCAGCGACGCGCACAGCGAGGGTCCAGCGCGGCGTCCCGGGGCCCCGGGCGGGCGGGCGGGCCAGCCGGCCTCCCGCCGCCCCGAGCCGCTGTCCACTGCTGAAGCGCCGGCCGCGGGCGCCGCGCTGCCGGCCTGGATGCGCCTCTACTTCTACGGGATGCACGGGATCACCGTGGACGTGCTCGTGTCCTCGGCGCGGCGCTTCGTTCGCAGCCCCGACCTCCGGATGCTGGGCTTCTCGTCGCCCTACCGCTGCCTCCTGCACGCGCTCACGCACTTCGCCCTGGAGAAGGTCTACCTGCAAAAGCGGCTCTGCCCCAGCGCCTTCCTCTTCAATTTCCTCCTGTACCCCTCGGCCCACGTGGGGTTGCAGACCCTGGCGAGCCGGGCGCTGCTGTTCAGCCTAGCCGGCCGGCCGGGGGACACGGCGGCGCCGGGGGCGCTGGACCTGGTGCTGCAGTACGTGCTGGCGCTCTACCACTGCCAGGTGTTCCTGAAGCGCTTCCTGTGCTTGCGGTACGGGCAGCAGCAGCAGCAGCAGCAGCAGCTGGACGTGCCTCCAGCACCCCCGGGCACCCGGCCCCCTGCGGCGGTCAGTGGCAGAGCAAGAAGACCCCCCGGCGCCGGGCGCGCCAGGGGAGCCTCCAGCCGTGGGCTGCCTGACCTGCTCCGCTTTCTTTTCTTTGGCATGCACGGCTTTTTGGATGAGATCTTCTTCACCTTCTTCTTTAATGTGCTGGGGCAGGGAGACCAGGCGACCAGCGGTCACACATCGCTGTGGTCCTTCCTTATGTATGGCAGCTGCAGTTTCGTAGTAGAAAAGCTCTACTTCCACCTCCACTACGGTCGCGGCTGGGGCACCTGGAGGCGGGTGCCCATCTACGTAATCTTCATCTACACGTGGGAGTTTTCCTGGGGTCTCGGGCTCCGAACGTGCGGCGCTTGCTCCTGGGACTATTCCCACTACCCGCTCAATTTCATGGGCCTCATCACTCTGATGTATCTACCCGGCTGGATATTCCTGAGTGTGTACCAGGACCTACTTTCCAACGTGTTGTGGCGGGTGCAGTACGTACCAACTAACTAACCCCCTCCCCGGAAAAAGTCACTGGATTCCCATGAATGATTGCAATTTATTTTTACACGCTTTAAACGGAGTGGGTTTTTTTAGTCTTTTACTTTTTATACGTTTTACTAAACTCTTCCAACATGTTTTGTTCGACATTTAAGTTTCTCTGACTATTTGGAACCTATGCATAATACTTTGAAATGTAACTAGAAGCATAATTCAAAGTATTTAATTCATCTGTTTAAAAACCCATACAAGGCCAATCAGCAAAACCATTATACCTTAACATCTAACATCGGAAAACTGTAGTATTCACTTACTGTAGTATTCACTTACTTGGGCGTAGGTGTGTGATAACTACTAATCTTTCCTTTTTCTTTAATGAGGACGTTCTTAAATCAGACATCAGCGGTTTTTTGTTTGTTTGTTTTACAGAATTTGGCGAATTTTTCTGATTTGATTTGTTTACTTTCTCTTTAATTCAATTTCATTTAAATTTTTTGTCATATTTATGAATGACTGCTAAAACTCAGTGTGTTGTGCTCCTGAAACTGGAGTTAATAGCTCTTAAAGTGCCTCCGTTTAGCACACAAGTGAAAAGAAACTGACAAATGTGAAAACACATCCTATGAAGTGATTTTTAAATAAGAAATCTTTTCTAGTAACTCAGACAGGTGACACTGTGTTAAGATATTTGATCTCCATCCTGGAAATGGTTGCTTTCCAATATGGGTTAGCCTTAAACGCCAAATGTGTTAACATTGATCAGATCCTGTGATATATACGGCTGTAAATTATTGTTACTGTGCAATAATGTAAAATGTTTACCATATACGTCTGAGGGCCAAGCAAAAGTATACCCCCCTAATAGTGTTCTAACCCTCAGGACCCTGTGGACATGGAACTTCAAGATTAGAGACAGTTCCTTGGAATAAAGTGAACCTGAATGTTCACCCTAATTGCATTAGGCCTAATCGTTTTCTGTGAATCCAGATATGTGTTTTCATCGTATTTTTACCATGCCTCACTTGCAGACATTTTTCTTTTTCTTTCAGGGCCCACACAGAGTTCTTGGGCCAAGCCTGTGAATTATAAAGCAATGATAACTTTTGGTGACTCATTATTAATATTTTGAAGCACCAAAGTTAAATGAGATGATGTAAATCATTTTAAAAAATCATGTCTATTCAATTCATAATGTACTTTAAGATTGTTAACTGTTTTTATTGTATTTGGAAAAGACAAGTATTATAGAGTGTGGCTCAGCCAAGGATGACTAATACCTTCTCAGTTTTCATTACAAATATAATTAGGAAAATTTACAATGTGTACACAATTGAACAGCTTCCTATTCAAATTATTAGTGTGCCTATGCTGTGAGAAGGGACTTCTGTTTTCAAAAAGTGTTTGTTATGGCAGTAAAAACGAATATGTATTTAGATTTAAGTCAGGCATAGTTTGAAGAATAGTTTTACTTGAATCCACTATCTGATGTTATGAGCAAAATTATAACTAATATTATATAATCAATCTCAACTGTGACATAGGTCATGTCAAACTGATTATTTTAGTCAAAGCTGAGTAGACTTAAAAGTAAGCTAAATATTTAGTCTTACTTAGGAAAAGGGTCACTTTATATACTTGGTCATAGGTGACAGGTTTCCAAAAACCATGAAGTGAAAAAAATGTGAGAATGAACACTAAAGTCAAGCAAATACTGAGCAAAATGTTACAATTTAAATGTGACATATGTCTACTAATCTGAGTTAAGTGCAGCACCCCTCTGATCCACACATTCCCGGGAGCACTCAGTCCATTCACTCCAGGAGACCTCTGATAGGCTTCCTAAATGCACATACTTGCACTTTTGCCCTTCACAAGTTGTTCCTTCTTCCTGCTAACAAACTTAGCAGCATTCTCAGGGCCAGAAATCTGTCAGGAAATAGGAAAGCCTGCAATTATTTGTTTGTTTTGGTTTTACTGATAATCCTGTTTAAAGGAAAGGTCAAGGTTGCCTTTATTCAATTCAAGAAATAGTTTTTGAGCACCCACTATTTGCTAGGTATTTGCCCTGGACTCTGCAGAAAGGGTACTGACCCCACACAGATAAGATCTCAGTTCTTTTACAGATCACCTTCTATTATTTTGATTTACATGAGGTTTTACTTATTTGCAAAGCTGAGCAGTTTGTTAGGAGGGCTCTCTTCAGGCCTGTCCCTGGAATGTTGATGCATTATCTCTAAAACAAAAAGCCCATTAGCAGTCCCTTGAAAAGGAACAAGAGCTCATTCACCTGTATTCAGGAAGAGCTTATTCTATTAACTCAGCACCTTGCTTGGGGGCTTCCTGTTATGTTTTTTTACTCAACTTTCTAAAAGTGACTTTTTGCTACAACTTTGAACCATTAAAGAAAAAGCAGACAAAGGCAAGAACCATCAGATCAATCACTTTTTTTTTTTAAAGATTTATTTATTTATTTATACAAGCACTGGGTACAGTCCGAGGAGCGGGAGGGTGAGAGAATTCACCAGAGCCAGAGCGGAGAGCAGAACTGGCAGAGTGATGAAGTACACTGCTTGGGGGAGCAGCGGGCGGCAGGAGAGGTCTGTGCACCATGTGGGACCCTCCTCCGGTGGCCAGGGAGCAGCCGGGGATCGAACCGTTGCTGCAGAGGCTGCGGTCAGCTTCTCAACCCAGCGCTCAACCACTGAGGGGAGGCCCTCAATCACTTTTAATATTCTTCTAATAGTCTTTGGTAGTTTAGATATAGAAATGATAAGCAGTATAATACTAATTAAGATTTAAGTAGCACAATCTTCAAGAACTGCTATCTATAAAATCATTACTGTATGTGTATACTTCTATATCTTAAATGAACATCATAGAACCTTATATAGATACGTACATACAATTTTAAGTAAATACATACCTTAAGGTAATACACATCATATCATATATATAACGACATATATATGTGTATGCATACATACACACACATTCACTGAAACCTCTAACAACATTCATTTTACAGATGAGGACAGGGGAACAGAAGCCCAAAGTTTACTAATAGCCCAAGTTATAGAGCTATTACACATTTAAACTCAAATCCAAGTACCCTGGATCACAGGGGCTGTTTTAACAGCACTTGTTCTCTATCTACTGACCACAAATATGTTGGGTCTTCTATGGACTTTGCCTTATACTCTGCATTGTTGTTTCCATCCACTATCACAGATGCAAGTGCAGCTGTATAAAAGCCAGATCCTAGTAGCAAGATCACTGTTTCGTGTTGCCTTTTTATTCCATGGATAATAACAAGGACGCCAATACCAGGATGCATAACTGACAATCAGCATAATTCCTATTCTCAGATCATAGTCTTTAGATTCTAGGGATGCTCTGGAAAAATGAAAAAAAAAAAGAGTTCCTTGTTTGAAGTCAAGTAATCTTGAGTATAAGAAAATACACCAAACTGTAAGATACCTCATATCACAAGCTAGAAAAAAATACATGTAATTACTGCTATACATTTACTATGCTGTACCATTCAGAGCTAAATAGCCAAAGAAATTAAAATAAAAGTTTTTGTAGAGACATTTATTCTGAGTTTGATTAAACACCTTGGAGTCAATCTAATAAAGTTCTTAAGAGAAAAACTTGAAAAAGTAACAGTACAATTTTCACTCATGTTTACTGGAGACAACCCTGGAATTTCTTACTAGAAGTGCTTTAAATTTTAAGTCATTTATATTTGGGTTCTGAATCTAAAGAAAAATATGATCTTTTAAGGATTTTTTTGGTCTGATTTTTGTCTGAACAAGGAATGAAGAATATCCTTTGTTACAGAGCATCTAATAAGGTTGAAAATCCATTGCAATATTTCAGACATTTCAATGACTTGGTATATTTGTAAAGATTTGACATTTCATGTTCCAAATCAGCAAAACACTGCTTAGAAAAAAAGGACTTGTCCTTTGTTGTTTAGAAAATCATTTCTAATTGCCTAATCTTACCCCTTTGGAAAAAAAAGAATTTCTGCTGTTTTAAAATAATCTCTGTTGGCATGTTGGACTTCATTCTATTTAAGGAGGATGGCAAAGACAAACTGCTCTGGTTCTTTTTCTATTTTCAAAAGACATAAAAAAAATCAATATACTTGCAAAGGAAGTTATACCATGATACAGACTTAGAGTGATAAATAAGTCATTATATTGTGATATCTGAAAGCATTTTAATAAAATCAATTTTTGCTCATATTAAAAGGCACTAAAAACACTTTACCTTTCAAATTAATTTTAAATATGCTATCTCCAATATATTTTCCAATGATGCTTAATAAAACTAAACTTTTTTATTGAGGGAAAGTAAGAAATACCCTTCATCTCCCTCCATCGAACAAATGCCTGAATTATGCTGAAGGGAAAGAGGGCAATAAAAGATCGTTCTGTTGTGTTGCCAGGATTTTTTTTTTTTTCTGTTCTTAGATTTGGTACCAGAGGAACCAACAAAAACAGCAATTGTTGGTGTGGACCTCTATTCACTAAAATTGGCCTCATTCTAATTTTCAACATTGAGGCACAAAGCCATCATACAGGCCTTGGCCTCCAGTCACTAGCAAAACAAATTGTAAATTATCCTGGCATGTGCACAGAGAAATTTCCCCTTACAGATATTTTCTCTTAATATAAAAAGAATGTAACTATAGAGACATCAAATTAAATTTTAAAATTAAAAAAATTTTTTTTGCAGAAATGATAAAACAAAGTATTGGGCTCTGCCAAAGACTGGTCTTTGACAGACAGAAAGGTTTTGTCTCACCTCTTAGCAATTCAATTACAATACCAAAGTCATGTGGACCAACTTTGCCATTCACATATGCGTGTATATCTGTATATAACAATCTCCCTTATGGAGAATTAAGGGTTGAAAGAAATTGATACCAAACGCCGGCCTCAGTTTCCCTCAGCCAATGAAAGGAAACAGAGTTTGGGGAAAAGGAAAGTGATTTAATTTGTCGACAAATGAGGAGGACATCAGACTCATGTCTGAAAGACAACGGTCCTCCCACCCCCGGCAGAGTGCAGGGGTATTTATAGAAAGGGAAAAAAAAAAAAGTGGAGATGGGCTAGGGTCTGCAAAGGGGTGGGAGAAGGGATCGTTGGCACAGCGAAGGGTGGGCACCAGCTTGTTTTTCTTCAATAGCTGATATTTAACTGTCTCTTCCTTGAAATACAGGAATGCTCATCTGGGAAACTGGGTCATAAATATAAATCTATCAAAGGAGGGAAATTGCAACAAATGGGGGAAAGACAAACTGTTAATCTTGTTAATGCCCATCAAAGACAAACCTGTCAAGAAATAGGGGAAAGACTAATTAATGCTTATCTAAGAGACTGGTCATTTGTCACTGTATCACAATCATGTAAGTTAATGACATCTAACATAGTCAAGGCAAGACTTTCTTAAA